ATTTGACTTCTTCTTTCCCTATTTGTATGCCCTAATTTCCTTCTCTTGCCTGGTTGCTCTGGCTAGAGTTTCAAGAATTATATTAAATAGAAGTGATGTGAGGAGACCTCCTTGTCTTGTTCCAGATTTTAAAGAAAATGCTTTCAGGTTTTTTTTTTTTGTTGTTTTTTTTCCATCACCATGATGTTGGTTTTGGGTTTGTTGTATGTAGACTTTATGATGTTGGGATAAATTCCTTTTCTCCCTACTTTCTTCAGTGCTTGTATCATTAATGGGGGCTGAATTTTGTTGAAGGCTTTCTCTGAATCTATTGAGGTGACTATGTGATTTTTGTCCTTAATTCTATTTATGTGTAATTTATTGATTTGCATATATTAAACTATTCTTGCAACCTGTGATAAAACCAACTTTGTCATGATGTGCACTTTTCTTAATATGTTGTTGAATATGGCTTGCTAATATTTTATTAAGAATTTTAGCATCTGAATTTATCAGGAATGTTGGTCTATAGTTTTCTTTGATGATGTGTCCTTATATGATTTTGGTATCAGACACTGGCTTCATAGAATGAATTTGGAGATGTTCTATCCCTTTCTGTTTTATGCAATAATTTGAGAAGCATTGACATTAGTTCTTTAAAGTTCTGGAAGAAATTATTTGAAACTCCATCTCGTTCTGGGATTTTCTTTGTTGGAAAACTTTTTATTACTGCTTTTATCTGATTGCTAGATTTTGGTCTGTTTAATTTTTCTATGACTTTCTGATTCAATCTTGGCAGGTCACATATATCTAGAAATGTATCTACTTCTTTTAGATTTTCCAATTTTTTGGAGTGTAAGTTTTCAGAATTGTCCCTAATGCTCCTCTGGATTTCTATGATGTCTGTGGTGACTTCTCCTTTTTCATTTTTATTTCTTTTTTGTACTGGTGATTGAACCCAGGGGCACTTAACCGCTGAGCCACATCCCCTTCCCTTTTTATTTTATTTTGAGACAAGGTCTTGCTAAGTTGCTTAGGGCCTTCTTAAGTTGTTGAGGCTGGCCTTGAATTTGTGATTCTCCTGCCACAGCCATTGGGATTATGGGCATGTGCCACTTGCCTGCCTTCATCTCTAATTTTATTTAATTTGGGTCTCTCTTTCTCTCTGTTAGTTTTGCTAAGGCTTATTAATCTTGTTTATCTTTTCAAAGAACCAAGTCTTCATTTCATCGATCCTTTGTATTATTCTCTATTTCATTGATTTTTGGCTCTGATCTTAATTATTTCCTTCCTTCTACTGGCTTTGGAATTTATCTGTTCTTTTTCAAGGGCCTTGAGATACATCATTAGGTTGTTTATTTGGGATCTTTCTGATTTTCTCATATAGGCATTCACAGTTATAAACTTTCCTTTTAGAACTACCTTGATAGTTTCCTGCTGTGAACTGCCCGGCCAAACCCTAGAAACTGGTGATGGGTGGTGGGGGATTAAGGAAGACACACAAACAGAGAGAGAGAGAGAGAGAGAGAGAGAGAGAGCGAGCGCGAGCGCGAGAGCGCTGGGACCAGGAGGGACACTGACCTCTGATGGAGGAACAGTTACCTAGACCTGGTTCAGCACATTTATTATATAGGGCCTCACAATCAGGAAGTCAAAACTATAGGGGCATTTTTCTTTGTGCACTAAAAAGGTACAGAACAAGAAACATTTTGTTAGCTATTCTACTGTTGCAGTGCTAGGAACATCCTGTTATTCTCTTGCTGCACTCAGGAAGCCCACTATCCAAAACTCTTGCAAAGCAGGCAGGCTTGAAGTTTGCAGCACTTGCAAGGTATTGTGGTTATCTTGTTCTGCTCAGAATTCTCTATCCCTGGAAGGTGGTGTCTGAATTCAAGGTCAAGACTGTTATTGTTCTGTGCCTTTGCATAGAACTGCCTCAGGCAGGGCTTTACCATAGCTCCTGGGAAATCTTGTCCTGTACCTTTGCACAGAACGTTCTCAGAGCAAAGTGCAGCCATAGCTCTGAGGCAGTCAAAGACCATGATCCAAAGTATCCTAGAGGGTTTTGTGTGTGTGTGTGTGTGTGTGGTGGGGAAGTACCAGGGGTTGAACTCAGGGGCACTTGGCCACTGAGCCACCTCCTAGCCCTATTTTGTATTTTACTTAGAGACAGGGTCTCACTGAGTTGCTTAGTGCCTTGCTTTTGCTGAAGCAGGCTTTGAACTCTCGATTTTCCTCCCTCAGCCTCCTGAGCTGCTGGGATTACAAGCAGAGGTTTATTTATTTATTTTTTAATATGTATTTTTTAGTTGTAGTTGGACACAATACCTTTATTTAACTTAAGTTATTTTATGTGGTGCTGAGGATCAAACCTAGGGTCTCGCACGTTTGAGGCGAGTGCTCTACCGCTGAACCACAACCCCAGTCCCACAGGCAGAGGTTTTGATATATTAGATTCTAAGAAGTTTTAAAATTTCCCCCTGATTATTTCTTCTATCACCCCTTCATCATTCAAAAGTTCATTCTTCAATCCTCACATGTTTATATAGTTTCTACAGGGTTTTTTTTAGTGTTGATTTCTAGTTTTATTCCATCATGATCCGATAAGATAAAAGGTATTATATTGATTTTTTTTGGTATATTTGTAAGGGTTGCTTTGTGGCCTAAAATGAGTTTTATTTTGGTACCATGTGCAGCTGAGAAGAAAGTATACTCTGTTCTTGTTGGATGAAATATGCTATAGGTGTCTGTTAAATCCATTTGATTTATAATATATTTAGGTCTGAAGAGTCTTTACTGAGTTTATGTGTGAATGACCTATCTATGTTGAGAGAGGTTTGTTGAAATCACCCAGGGTATTATTATACCAGGGTTTTTCTGAGTATTTAAGTGATGTTTGGGGCATAAATATTTATTATCATTATATCTTTTTCTTGGATTTTTCCCTTTACCAGTAGGAAGTGACCATTTTGTCTCTTCTAATTAAATTTGGCTTGAAGTTTGCTTTGTCAGATCTGAGAGTAGCTACTCCTGCTTGTTTTAGGGCTCCATTTGCATGGTATATCAATTTCCATTCTTTCAACCTGCGGCTGTCTCTGCCTGCAAGGTGAGTCTCTTGCGAATGACGTTTATTTAGGTTTTGTTTTTTAATCCTTTCTTCCAGACTATGTCTTTTAATTGGAGAGTTGAGACCATTTATATTCACTGTTATTATTGAGATGTTTATTTCCTGACAATGACAACAAAACGATGCCAGAAAGAAAGTAGATTTGTAATGAAAAGTGAAAGGATTGTCTCCACTGAGGTGGACAAAACTGTCAACTGGGATAGATGGTCATTACCTCTGAGAAGTACTGCCAACTGGAGCTTTATCTGGACAGACCAGACTGATGCACTCCCAGGACAGGGCTACTGCAGAGTTCTAGAACGGAAATTATGGCTTAGGTCTACTCATTCCTAAGGGGCACTATTGTGTGGAGCAATACACAATAGAGATTGTGGAGATTGGAGCAATATACCCCTAGTGACAATCAGATACCAGTCTCTACTGGGAATCTGGATCTCAGAAGCCTCCCAAGAACTCATGGAGCTGGGGAATCAACCCTCCAGAGGTCTCACACATTTCACTGCTCATGAATACAACCTTCCCAGGCTGAAACTCTCAAGGTAATCACACCTGTTCAGTTCCCTAACCTTCTTCAGCTGGTCACGAGTTATCAGACTCAAAGGAAAAGTGAGGTGCACTGCCTTCCTTATCTCTGACTTGAATCCCCCTGGGGACAGGTATCTCTGTGCCTGTTTGTTTCACTCATATTCTGCTAGGCACACACTAGGCCACATGGTAGGCACTTGCCAGGAGAGTACGGTTGTGTTTGCTGTGATCTCCAGGGCTCCCCAGGCTGCAGCATGGCCTGAAGATGAATCCAGCGCTTGTTCTCCACTTGCCAGTTGAGAAACAGAACACTTTTCAGGCACCCAGTTCACTGTGCAGCCACTAGTCCAGCTAAGTTCAGCCTGCTTTTCGTTCTATAGGTTTTCCTGTGCCTAATCTGCCCTATTGTGTTTCTCTCTCTGTTTGTGTTACCCCTGTTCTCTCCAATGAACCCCACTGCTGCTGCTGCTGCTATCAGTTGGGCTCCAATTACTCTCTCTTGTACTTCATCCAATGTACCTGAATTTCCGAGTCAGAGATTCTGACTGTCCAATATTGGATTTCAGCCAATTCCCTCTTTCGTCCATCGCACTAAAACGTCATACTCTTATTGCTTGAATTCCAATCTATAAACAACTGGAAATGCAGCCTTCATCTAAGTAGCCATATTGCATCTCCTTCAGATGCTGAATCTCCAACCAGCATTTGCCTTCAATCAAACCATAAACCATCCTCAAAACCATCCTGGAGCACAGCCAAGAGGCTCGCCACCTTAGTGCTGATATATCTCCTCATACCTGCCTCCAATCCCAGGTACTTAACTGTCCTCACTTCCTCCTCCTCAAGGCTCTGTTCTAAGTCCAGCGTAGTGGTGCACACACCATAATCCCAGTGACTGTGGAGGCTGAGACAAGAGTACTGCAAGTTTGAGATCAGCCTCAGCAAAACAGGGAGACTTTCAGTAACGTAGTGAGACCCTGTCTCAAAATAAAAAATGAAAAGGGTTCAAGATGCAGCTAAGTGGTGAGAGAAATGTGGCTTGTAAGGAGTCCAAGAAAAAGTGAAGCTGGCCAGCAGACTGGAGGGAGAAACAAAAGAGGATCTTACAGGATCAAATATTCTTCCTCTTCTCTCATGTCTCTTGGGTCTACCTCCTGCAGATCCTTTTTCCCTTCCCCGACAGAGCAGGTAGGAGCTATAGACTGTGGGGCAGAGGGCCCTACTTGGTCCCAGTGGGATTTACTTTGTCTCAGGTGTTCTCCTGGCTTCCAACAGAGCCTCTTGTTGGACACATCATGTTTTATTCCTGAGGTCATGGGTCAGGCTTGTGCCCATGCTTCCCCCCTGTAGTGGCTCCCCACGACACCACTCAGAGCTGCCAGCGGAAGTTGAGCTTGAAGCCTGCCATCTTCTCAGCATAGTGGGCATCAAAGTGCTCATTCTGAGCCACAGTGAAGACGGATTTCCAGTCCCCTGGGAGGCCGGGGGGGGGGGGGGGGAAGAGGAGGCCTGAGTACCTGCCAACATAGGTGGTCCGAAGTGGCCCAGGGTAGGCTCTGGGTTCCACCCTCCCTTCTGCAGCCGCCCACCCTGGACTGCACACACCTTTCCTCATGAAGGGAGAAACACTGTGGTCCATCATCTCAGTTGGTATGGTGGTGTAGTTAGCCATGGGATTCTTCTTCATCTCCTTGAAGGATGTGTGCTGGACGATGTGATCCACTGTCTCCTCTGACAGGGAGCGCCCCAGAAACTCCAGGATCTTTTTAATCTCCCTTTTGGGGTTCTGAAGCAAGACATAAGCTCTTCAGAGGGGGCTTGTATTGCTTCCTGAGCAAACACAGGGGAAGTCCCCTCTCTGGTGTCACATGGGGGGAGCTGGCCCCTTCCATTTCAAAAGTTCCCAGCCCTAGCTGCTTCACCCTGGGCCTCTTTCCCTGGACCAAAACTACTAGCTCTCTGCCTTAGGGTCCTGGAGTGAGCCCTGCTTAGTGCCTTAGGAGAAAGGAGGGTCAGTCTTCCTTTAGAACTGTGGCCCCAGGTGTGGCGCAGCCTTGTGCAGGGGGACATGAAAACAAACAGCTGACCCATGACCACATGTGTAGCTGACTCAGGTGTTAGGAGATAAGGACTGTGCTGGGCCCTGAGATGAGCTCTCTCTGCAGTCCTGGATAGGAAGGCAGTGTGGGGAGTCCTGGGCTGGGTGGGCCTGCCAATGGGGAGGGTCCTGAGGGCCTTGTCAGGTCCCTTGAGGTTCCTGTCCCCCAGGTAGGACATGGATGGAGTGGTATCAGGGGGATCTCACCTCCTTCAGGTCTTCATAGAAGAGGTAGAGCACAGGGTGGGTGAGGCTCAGCTCCCCCCACTCCTGCACGTGCTGGTACCACGACCCATAGGACACTGGGGAAGGGGACCAGCAGGATTTGGTAAGAGTTTTAGGTGGCCGTCCTCAGCTCCAGCCCTCTCCTTCCTCCAGATTGGGGCCCACCTTGTCCATCCATGAACTTCTCCAGGAAGTTGTCCCAGGTGCCAGGGTCAGGGTACAGCTTGGCCATTTTGTAGAAGTTGTAATAGGAGACAGCCACGTCCTTTGCATTGCGGGCAACATAGATCACCTGCAGGGACAGACGACACCCTCTGCCAGCTACACCACCCCACGCACACACCCCAGTACTGCCTGCCCTCCTGGTGCCTGGCCCCCTTCACAGCACCACTTTGGGGGGGTCCCCTCTCAGCTTGACAAGGGAACACGTTGAGGCCTTGAGGCTGACTTGCTGGAGACCTCAGGGATGGCTACAGCAGCTGGGATCTGAACTCAGCTTTGATGGGAGACTCCTGGCTGGTCCCTGAAGTCATACTTCATCCTAATCTGACCCCTGGGATTCCACCACACACCCAGATGGAGAACAAGGCAGGCAGAGGACCCTTTAGCCCCTCTGTGAGCCTCTGAGCACCAGGCTCCCCTGCCCTCGGGTCTGCACTGAAGAATCTTGCTCTCCTCCTCGTCTTGGGCCTGCCACAGTGAGGACAGGTGGCCTTCCCACTTGTGCAGAGACAAAGCTTGAAGAGACTTTTCCTGCAGAACAGGACCAAAGCTGGAATGGCCTAGTGGCCTCCAATGCCACTCACCTTGACCTTCTGATCCAACAGACTCTGGGGAAGCAGGCCCAGGGGCAAGTGTGTCTTGAGGAGCCGAGGGGCAGGTGTATCTTTCAAAGTTTCCAGACCTAAGGTGCGGGCAGGATGGTGAGCTGGAGCCAGAGCGACCTTCTTTAAGATCTTTTGCCCCTGGATCCCACCACACACCTGATGGAACCCCTGGACATTTAAACTCAAGGAAGGGTACGCGTATGTAAATGGGTGCCCGGTGACACTTCTCTAGGTCACCACCCTGATAGATCATCTCCAGTATCTCGCTCAACCAAGTGGTGCCTAGAAGAGAGAGAAGCAGAAATGAACAGGATGGAGGGCTGGGCCCTGGTGACCAAGGTGGGGAGTGAAGTCCCAGCGGGGGAGCAGGGTGACCCTCCTCACTTACCAGACTTGGGGTAGGTGCTGATGAGCAGGTCATCAGGCCAGGCCTGGAAGCTCTGAAGTGGCCCCATCACCTCTGCAAAGTACTTGATGAGCGGGACCCCCTTCACATTGACCAGTGGAGGACGGGAGGTGTCCTGGACCAGCTCCATGCTGCTGAGTCAGGGGCCAGCGCCTGCTCTGCTTCTCTGAATACCATAAAAAAACAGCATTCGCTGGATTGTTGCTTTGAGATAAGGACTCTGAGGCTGCAGGAGGTCCAGTTATTTGCCCAGCTTCTCTAAACTACTAAGTGGAGAGCTAGGATTGGAAGGAAGGTTTAACTCCAGTGCCGTTGTTTACAGCTCAGGCTGTACCTTCTGATTGCTTGCAGAACTTTCCATGACCCCAGTGCCCTGCCACAGCAATATCAGGGGTTAGAGTCCAGATACACAGATTTGGAAGCTCTCCCAGTGATTCTAGTGATTTCTTCAGCAGTTGAGAAATTCCTGCAGGCTCTGCCTGTTCCTTTTTGTTTGTTTTTCATTTGTTTTGTATTGTCTGTGGTGGTGAGGGTGGAACCCAGGGTCTCTTGCATGCTAGTCAAGTCCTCTACCACTGGCCGTGCACTAGCTGCCCTGCCCATCCTAACTCTTAACATGCAGCTCATTGTTCTTCCTCCCCTGCTGAGACACAGCCCTAGTGGGCTCATCTCTGATGTTCCCCTCTTGAGTCCCTGGGCCCTTCACATCTGGAAACACTTCAGGCCAGCCAAGCTCCCCACCCAAGCTCCATCTTGGCTCCAGGACCAATGGGACTGATTGAGCAGTTGAACTTGGTTGAGGGCCTAGTCAGTTGAATGAGCATATGAATGAGCAAAACTGATCACTCAGAAAAAGAGGGGAAGGGGACTGGGGCCAGGCTGGAGTTGTCTACTGAGATGGGTGGTCCATGGGAAAAGAACTGGGAGGTAGAATTCAAGTCAAGGGATCAAATAGGTGTCCGATCAAGTGAAAGGAGCATCTGGAAGATATTGGAGCTGGGCAGGGACCCAGGCTTGTGTCCTCCTGGGCACTCAGGGGATTGGTGGAGGTGTGGAGTGGGTACTGCAGAGCTGTTTTCTGTGGGTCCACAATGGGACGGGTGAGGAGCCAGTCCTGGGAATGGCTATCCTCTGGAAGGAAGGGTGGGGTTTAGGAATGGGTACATCAGGGTTACCATCCTTATCATTCAGCTGGATCCAGGCATACACCTGTCTTAAAATCCAACATGTGGGTTTAACCTACAGGAAACAACAGAACTAGAATGAAGAGAAAGAGCCCAGGGGTCAGATGGTCTCTCAGCTACTGCATGGCTACTGCAGGGCTCCCCAAACTTTGTCCCTGCAGGGAAGGTTAACAGATGGCTTTTTCTAACAGATCACGTCAAGGTGGGGGAAATGGGGTGCAAGGCCACTCACCTTCCTGGTGGCTCCAGTTTGGTCTCAAGGCACCCAGAGCTCAGGGCAGAGCAGCCTTAGGCATTTCTGGAACTGCAGGCTCTGAGAGCAGGGCAGGTCCAGAGTGCCGAGTGGGCAGGGTGAAGGGATGGGGGCAGAGCAGAGCAAGGAAGGCTTTTTACCACACTTTTTCTTTTTCCAGGAAAACTGTTTTTGAGGCAACAGGACAGGATCGAAAAAGGATGTTGGAACCTAATAGTTCTGGGAGGGGGCCCTGCCTCATGGATCTTGAGTGACCTCAGGGGCACCACTCATGGCTGCTGAATGGCCCCACAGGTGCTTCTTTCCCTGGACTTTCAGGGCCTCCAGAGACAGACACGAAGAGGCTGGGGCACAAGAGCCACAGGGATCCATGTAAGGGACCTCCCCAGCTCCGCCTCAGCTTTTTCTCTTATTGTTTTCATTAAAATCCAGTCTCGTTGGGCACTGGAGGTCAAGGGGCTCTGAGTCATGGGTGTCAGTCTCCTGAGCCTTCCCAGATAAGTGTGTCCTCAGAGGTAAGCTGGGGAAAGGGATTCAGAAGGGTCTGTAGGCAGGGGGGATGCTGGACACATGGTTGGGCCAGTGGCCCCTCCTCACACCTCTGTTCCCCAAACCCAGGTGTCCCAGCAAACAACAGAAGGTTCCATCACTCAAAACTTTTTTTTTTGTACTTGATATTGAAGAACCCAGTGGCTTTAACCACTGAGCAACATCCCCAATTAATTTTGTTTTTTTAAAATAGTGAAGAAAGGGTCTTGCTAAATTGCTTATGGCCTTGCTAAGTTCCTGATGCTTTGAATTTGAGATCCTCCAGCCTCAGTCTCCTGACCTTCTGCGATTATAGCATGTACCACCACATCTGTCTCCGAACTCCTAATTGTACTCAATGAAAGCTGTCCAGTTTCTGGTAGAGGGGAGAGGGGACAGAAAAGTAGGGGCAGGGTTGGGATTGTGGAGGATCAGGTATGCAGTGATCCCATGGAGGTTGGTCAAATGCAGCCTAGAAGATGGAGGCAGCTAGGGAGGCCAGGGCCAGAATCACCTCTCACCTCTTCTCATTCCCAGCCATCCTCTTCCTCCTCAGTGCCCATCTGGCACAGCCAGATCAGGACTCCCCAAAGCAATGACTTCTCACAATAACCAAAGGTGAAGCTGGTAGGAGATGATACAGAGTCAGGCTTCTTAAGCCCCCTGTAGCCCTGGCCCTGAAGGCCAGTGACTCAGCTGCCCCAGCCTGGGCTGGACTACTGGGCCCCTCTCCCCAGAGCTAGGCCAGGCTGGAAAGAGGACAGCACTCACCTAGGACATTGGCCCTCAGGGGCAGAAGCTGCCCTGGCTCCTCCTGAAGGGACTCCTCTGCCAGGCAGATCACATGGGCCCTAGAGGAAATCCTTGATGAGGGCAACAGAGGGACACTGTTCATCCCATCAGAGGTGGCAGGCAGGGAAAGGAAGACAGGAGCAACTCACGTGTACTGAAAAGTAGAAGCCAGATCTCCATCTGTTGATTTGTTAAGTACTGATGGACCATATTCTTGTGCTATTCTGCTTTTTTTTTTTTTTTTGGTAGTGGGTATTGATCCCAGGGCCACTTTACCACTGAGTTACATCCTCAGCCCTTCTTATTTTTTGATTTTTGTACAGGGTTTCACTAATTTGCTGAGGCGGGCCTCCAACTTGTGATCCTCCTGTTTTAGGCTCCCAAGTCACAGGGATTATAGGCGAGTGCCACCGTGCCTGGCTATACTCTGTTGTGAGAGAGTGAACAAGAACTGACTTCCTGGAATTTATTGTGAAGAGTGGGGAAGCTGATCACAAGATTAATATATATATAAATTATAAGAAACAAAATACATTAAGGGCAATAGTGGGCCAGTCTCAGAGGGGTGGACCTTTTATCCCATAGACAGGAGGCCAAGTCAGGATGACCACAGGTTCTTGGTCAGCCTGGCTAATTTGTTGAGACTCTGTGTCAAAATAACAGCAAGAAAAAAATGTTGGGGTTATAGCTCGGTGATAAAGTGCCCCACCTTCTACCCCCAATATCACAATAAGCACATAAATTGGGGAAACAGGGTATCCACAAGGAAGAGCTATAGTTTTGGATGGAGCCAGGGCTCCACAGGAGGGTGGCACATGGTCAACTCTGAAGGTCTAGGAAAGAGCCTTTCACACAAGAGAAAGGGCAAAGGAACTGTTAATAGTGGTGGGTCCAAGGACGCGCAAGCACTTCCCTTCCCAGGTTAGAAGTGGGGGCAGAGCTGCTGGGTTGCTCACAACTAAAATGCTCAGGGCTCATTCCAGGGGAGCTGGGCTAATTGGACTGCGTGAAATAACCACACAAGAGACACACATACCTTTTTCTTTGGGAGTACTGTGATGGCTCCTCTGACCTTAAGGGTCCACAGAAAGAGAGGGAGAGCGAGCCTGCACATGCTGAACCCTCTTATTGAGGAGAAGCTTTTCAAATGAGGCAAGGAGTCAGGTTTCAAGGGGGCTGAGTCTAGCTTCATGATGTCTGCTGTCAGCAGGTTGACTGACATCTACAAAGGCCACACCCAAGGGCACAGAAAGAGAAGGGGACACACAAAGGGTGTTTCCATGGAACTTTCTATCCTAAACAGAGTAAGGGGTAATATTACAAAGGAATAGGTGAGCATAGCTCCACCCATGGGGCTGTGGGAAGGCACACCTATGCGTAAAGACATAGTCACTCGACCCTAAAGATCTACTGTCTGAGTTACCTAGGCAACCAGATCACAGAGTGATCGAGGATGATGCCACACCAATCAGAAGGGGAGACAGATGCAGTCACCTGCTAGTTGGCCTCCCACACAGAGCAGCTCAAGGGTGTGAGCTGCCTGGTCTCTCAACAAACACCTTGAACCCAGGTTATGGGAACCTCAGATACCACCCTAACTGGGGTGGATCTCACCTGAATCAGGTATCACAGGCATAGGCCCAGCTTGGTCGTGGTCTCCAAGGGGTCCCACCTAGCAATTCTGGATGCTGGGCTGTGGTAGAAGCAATGTGCAGAGATCCCTACACACCTGGCTGCAGTTCCAGGCACAGGTGTGACTCCAATAGACACAGGAGGTTTGAGGTGTGTGAGTATGTCTGGGAACACTGTGAACAGGAAGAGCATGAGGGTGGCCAAGGCAGGGGACAATTCCTGGGCCCATCAGTCAGGCAGTGGATCATTGACTTTTTTACCTGAAGGGCAGCCAAAGCAGACCAGAAGGCTTCTCTGAGGAAGACCATATCCCCCGGAGGAGAGGGTCAAAACTGTGCATTTCCACCCCACCATGGCACAACTAAAAGAGAATCCCTAACCATCATTGGCCTCCAGCCCCATCTAGAGCCTCCTCACAAGGGCTTCACCCCTTGCATGCTTGTACTCTTACCTTTGCCATCAATCTCCCAGTCTGAGCCTGAGGCCTCTCAAAGCCTGCTTCCCAGGAGGAAGATCTGCACAGCCCAAAAATGCCTTTTCCAGTTGGTCTTCCAGCCCCTCTCCCCTCTCTTGCCACCAGTGGGGTTGACGGTGAGCTCCATGTAGCTGCAGACCCCATGACCAGGATTCAGGCAGTAGAGCGGGTAGATGCCTAAGAACCCCCCAGCCCTTGCTTCACCTCCCGGAGGCACATAGGAACTTTGTGTGTCAGGGGTGCTGGAAACAATGAAGTGCCACAAG